GGGAGAGAGAGAGAGAGAGAGAGAGAGAGAGAGAGAGAGAGAGAGAGAGAGAGAGAGAGAATGTGTAAGTGTTCTCCCGCTCGGTCGTTCGACACACACACACAGACACAGGGAGAGAGAGAGAGAGAGAGTAAGAGAGAGAGAGAGAGAGGATGTCCCTTGTGGTGTGTGGGTTTGGCGTTGACGGGGTTTGGTATTTCATCATGGTTGCAGGTACGATCGGGGTGTCCGTCGAGTCCGTTGTTTTCATCTCAAAGCGGACCGAGTGGGCGATCTACGGCGGAACGTTATGCCTACTCCACTTCATCTTCGGCGTTGGATTTGCGCAGCAGTTTCGCGATCGGCGGACATGGCGCCGCCTCCCTGCGCTCATCCGTATTGCATCCCAGAGTTGCGCAGCACCGTCGAGCGCACCGGCGCGCCGGCCACGCGCGCGCGGACGCAACGGTTGCAGAGAAAGAGCCATCAGTGGGACCCGCCGAAAAGTTTGAGTATCAGGCAGAAGTAAGTTCGACCCTAAGAGAACCTAATTCTGTCTGACTAGCTCGTCTTCTTTGTGGCGTCGAATTACTATCTCGAAATTTTGTGGATTGTTTTTTATTTTAATCTCAAAATTTTGTGGATTGTTTTTTATTAATCTCAAAATTTTGTGGATTGTTTTTTTTATCTCATTTTCGTGGGAAAGTGCGGATTTTTTTTTTTCATCTGACGAGGCGAGGAGGTATATCATTTAAGAAATGATTATCAACGACGACCTAAGAAATGATGACATGTCGACGAATAATGTGTCAACCAAAGGTATTAAAAGATACGAAATCTTCGACCGAATTTGTCTGTGTACCGTTGGATTTTGTAAATCTTCGATCGAATTTGTCTGTGGACCGTTGGATTTTGTATGTTCGTTTTTCGTCTGATGAAGTAAGTGAAATCTCCCCCTATTTGGATTTTTCGTTTTTAAGGAGGGAAAGTTTTGTGCGCGCATTGAATTAGTTATTAGTAATTGTAAGGAGAAGCTTCGGGAACAGGTCCGCTCAATGAAGACGGAGGCGAGGAAGCGTATGATCATTAACAAAGGATTATCAACAATGACCTAAGAAGTGATGATAGGTCGACGACGACGTAAAAGGAAGAATAACGTGTCAACCAAAGGTATATTAAAGGACAAGAAATCTTTGATCGAATTTCTGTGTACCGATCAATTCCATCGTATGTTTTCGGTCTGATGAAGTGAAATCTTCTTTTGGCTTTTGTTTTTGAGAATGGAAGGTTTTGTTAGCGGATAATTTGAGAATTACAGTAATAATTCTTAGGAGAAGCTGCGGGAACATGGCCGCTCAACGAAGACGAGAGCGAAGTAGCAGAAGGCCGAAAAATTTCTGTTCTCCGTAGTAAAATCTGGAAAACATGTTTATGAAAAACTACTTTGGGTTGTACGCTCAATGAAGACAGTAAATACACTCGATGAAGACAGGAAATACATAATGTTGTTGTACTTTAAAAGTAACACTTCAAAAGCCCCAATTAAATGAAATCTCATTCCTATACTCATGGCTTCGTCCTAAGAAGGCAGTTCATAATGTGAAGAAGCATTAAAAAAAGACTCTGGCCGTCGTATTGCCAATTCAATGGACCAACTGGTAAAAAACCCTGTGGGTGTCGGACTGTCAATGATGTAATGTGCGAGCTGGGAAAAATCCTTTGGCCGTTGGATTATCAAATCCCATGAGCGCACTGAGGAAGGCAAGGGAAGGTAGTTTTTCTGGTGAAAGCTATCGTCTTCCCCCGAACACCACGCGCCCTCATTTAGAGTGTATCGGACCGGAAATCTAGCCTCTGTACAAGCGTAAAATGAGGGCGCGTTAGTTTTTCTGGTGACCAGGGGAAGGTAGTCAAAGCTATCGTCTTCCCCAGAACACAACGCTCCCTCATTTTGAGTGTATCGGACCGGAAATCTAGCCTCTATACATGCATAATGAGGGCGCGTTGTGTTCGGGGGAGCACGGTCGTGGTTTTAAGTGGCAGATAGCACAAGTGCTCGCGGAGCGAGCAGCTAGAATGATTAAGTGTAGAATGAAGGTTTGTAAGTATCACCCGTGTGCGTATTGTTTTTTTTGGAGCATAGGGGCAGGCAAAGATACTGGAGGTTTAGCTGGCAGATGGCACAAGTGAGTTGGAGGTGGTTTTGTACCTGGCAGGTGGTACAACAAGTGAGTTGGAGGTGGTTTTGTACCTGGCAGGTGGTACAGGTTACGAGGTTTTTAGTCGGCAGACAGCGCAAGTGGATGAGGAGCTGACTGAGTCAGTTTAGAGAGAAGGTTAGCAGTTGACTGAGTCAGTTTAGAGAGAAGGTTAGCAGTTGACTGAGTCAGTTTAGAGAGAAGGTTAGTAGTTGACTGAGTCAGTTTAGAGAGAAGGTTAGCAGTTGACTGAGTCAGTTCAGAGAGAAGGTTAGCAGTTGACTGAGTCAGTTTAGAGAGAAGGTAAGCCGACTGAGTCAGTTTAAGAGAGAAGGTTAGCAGCTGACTGATTGAGCTAACAAAGCTAACAATGGAGGTAGGTTCGAGTACCATAAAAAAACTTTGGAGAGAAGGTTAGCAGCTGACTGATTGAGATAACAAAGCTAACAATTGTTAGCAGCTGACTGATTGAGATAACAAAGCTAACAATTGTATATTTCGAGTACCATAAAAGAACTTTAGAGAGAAGGGTAGCAGCTGACTGATTGAGCTAGCAACGGAGGTAGGTTCGAGTAGCATAAAAAACCCTTGTGCATAATTCTTTGAGGCGTTGGCATGCATGAACGAAGGGTTGTGGGTTTGCAGGGGGCAGTAAATAAAACCTGTTTCCGTGTGGACGACAACAATTTTTAACCATGTTCGGCAGTAGTACCCTGACGGCTGAGAGTGGACAAAAAAATTACCACCACTTCCTTCCTTCCTCCTCTTCACCATCCTCGGCTCCCCCCGCCTATCTATGCACGGTTCATGTCTGAAAGTGTGATTGCATTCAGATCCGATTAGGAAAGTCTTTATGTTGTGAGTATGCCTCGAGAGAGACCGACCTCTTTGGCCACCTATGGAACCCTACGCGCCCTCATCAACCTTGGCCCACCGATAGAATCCGACTGTCGTCTTGCCTCACACCCAACGCTCCCTTGTCATGAATCTTTGTATCTTTCCGGTCAGATACAGTTACGATGCTGGGGCTTTGTGTCCGGGAGAAGGTAGCGAGAATGGTTTACTGCGGGAGAAGAATCGACGAATCAAGGCAAAAAAATAAAAATCCTACGACCTGGTTATGCCCGTAGATTTGTTTCTTTTTTTTTGAATTTTTTTCGGCGTTCGTACATTCTCTGGTTTCAGCTGAAATTATGATTCGTTCCGTTCTGTCTGAGTGTCGCCGTTGCCCAGATAATCGATTTGCCGTATGTGTCACGTTTCCCGTAATTGTGGCCCAACTTTTTATTATGAGCTTTAAAAAAGCACCATTACTTCCTACAGTTGTTCCCCTGTTAACAAGCCACAAAACGTACGAGCCACTACAGGCACCCGAATTCATCCGACTAGAAAAGTTCCTACTGTATTTTTTTCGCCGCTGATAGGTGGGCCTACCTTCTTCCCCCGAATACAAAGTACGGTCATTATAGCTGTATTTGAAGCACCTTTCAGTCTAGATCCAGCTATAATGACCGTACGTTGTATTCGAGGGAAGAAGGTAGTACTGGTGGTGTAAGGAAAGGATTGCAAGAGGGAGCATAATGTAAGGATATCATCCTACATCGGTGAGCGTCTAACGGGCTATGGTGTCGCCGCTCGTGCATCAGCTTCTGTAACGTTCATCTCTCTAATGAATGCGCGAGCCTCGCAGCGTTTGGCCTCGCGCTGGCGGTACTGCACTGTAGTGTACACATCCCCTTAACCCCTCTCGCCTGGCCTTGTGGCCATTGATTTTCTCTATGCTGTCGCAGTTGGAAATTACTTATCATGACTCGAAAAGGGTCAGTTGCCTTCATATATGCTGTGCACGGTTAGGTCGTGCACCGTATGGACATCAAGACAGATGGCTGGCAAAATTTCTGAACCTGTCAGTAGGGTTGGCACGCTTTGCCGACCCTTCCGAAAAAGGAAAGGAAAAGAAAAAGAAATTATGATCCATTCCGCTGCTCTCTGAGGGTCGCCTTTTACCTGGCTGTCTTTGAGGGTCGCCGTTACCTGGCTGCTCTCTGAGGGTCGGCGTTACCTGGCTGCTCTCTGAGGGTCGGCGTTACCTGGCTGCTCTCTGAGGGTCGCCGTTACCTGGCTGCTCTCTGAGGGTCGCCGTTACCTGGATATGCGCTGTGCCACATGTTTCCCCGTCCGTGGCCCCGTTTCCTCATTATACGTTTGTCGGTCTGGTTTCTCCGCCGCCTTTCACGCCGCCCCATTTTCGTTAGGTCCACTGCTGAGGAGTGTCTCCGGTTTGTTCTTCTGATTTATTGTGCGTGACTTAGGTGCCTAGCAGCGTTACTGGCAGCAGTGTTATTGGCAGCTGTCATTCGTCTTCTCTCTCTCTCTCTCTGTTTTTTTTATGCCAATCTTTTTGTATCGTTCCAATTTTAATGGATGTCCCGAAGGACACTCTTCTATATCACGCCCGATTTGTTTATCAGGTTGGGGTTGATTATGACGCTGGGCACTGCTATTGGGTGGTGCGTGTCGTATTCTCCATTTTTCTGATCCGTTCCATCCAATTAAGCTTTACGGGCTCGTGTATGTTGTTACCGCGCTGGTGGTTGTTGGTGGTGCTATTTCCTCTCATCGACTGCATATCGATTTAGATTTGCTGATATGGATATATTCGTGTATATATTTCCCGATTTGGAAAACTGATTTAGTTTTTCAGATTCGGGTATATCCATTTGGTTTTCCAGAAATGGGTATATATCCATTTAATTTTCGAGATTTAGATGCAATACGGAGCACAACCGTGGTGCAGCAGTAGTCACTGCTGGCGGTCTCACTAACGTGCCTGGAGCGCGTCCTGGGGCCAAGTCCCACTAGCAGCAGCTTTGATTCCCCTCAACGCTCGAATCTGGACGTGTTTGGGGAGATGTGCAGAAAATGGCGTGAACCGCACATCCCCACAAATACGTCCAGATTCGGGCTTTGAGGAAATTCGACGCTGCTAGTGGGGGACTTGGCCCCTGGTGGTGGTTGTCATATCTGGCGGTATTTTGATCATCTACCGTCTGCACCCGAATGGAACGCCCCGGTCATTATCGTCGTGTTTAGACGGGAAGGTGCCTCAGATACAGCTATCATGACTGCGCGTCATGACACACAGAGAGAGAGAGAGAGAGAGAGGAACACGAAGTTCTGTCGGAGGCATTTGGTGTCAAAAACACGCACTGAATTTGATTAGTGTTGCTACTGCTTTTCTGAAGTAATTGGTAATTTTCCGCTCAGCGAGGACGTGGTTTTGTCGATCGTTGGGGGGGTTATTGTCTGTCTGTTACAGGTTGCTTATCGGGGTGTGAAATGGGTTATCGGGGTGTGAAATGGGTTATCGGGGTGTGAAATGGGTTATCGAGGTGTGAAATGGGTCAGCTGAATGTTCGGCTTGGCAGTATCTATTCGGTGGTAACTCTCTTGAACTTGTCTGTCTTTCTTTTTTTCTTTTTTTTTTTTTCCTTGGGTGGGACGCTCGACCCGTTTTCCAGCAGTTGCAGCTCTCTTGATCTTGTCTTGGTGGCGATCATCGCTCAACGTCAGATCGTCTCGGTGGAGATGAATGCTATGAATGCTCCCATTCTCCGAATCTTTCTGGTCCGGGGGATCAACGCTCTGCTTATTGAAATCTTATTCGGGTTGAGATTGACGCTCCATTACCTCCTTCCTCTACATCGTGTCTGTTGGAGAACAACTTTTCAGTTTGTTTACATCATGTCTCGGTGGAGGTTACAACATTCCTAGTCTTTAGATGTGCACTTGGTAGAGCATAACGAGCGCTCTTTTTCTTTAGATCTTGTCTCGACGGAGATAAAGCTCCGGTTCTCTGGAATTCGTCTTGGCGGAGCTGTCTACAAGGGATTCAGTGGATACGTCTGCAGAGTGGAAGAAAGGTATTCATTGCAGCAGCTGTGGAAAGGTAAAAAATGAAGCATTGAGGGAGTCTGGTTGTACACGACTCCTTTGTTTTCCGTCGTGTGTTTTCCATCACCGGATCTGACCGAGTTGGTGTTGTTCAGTGGATACGTTTGCAGAGTGGAAGCAGGGTATCATTGCAGCAGCTGTGGAAAGGTGACAAAAATGGAACATTGAGGGAGAGTCTGGGTGGTGACTTGTACACAACTTACGTGTTTTACGTCGTGTGTTTTCCATCGCCGGATCTGACTGAGTTGTTGTTTCGGTGAGTGCAGGTGAGCAGGCTTCTGGATCTCATTGTTCATTCGTTGTATAGTCATCCAGAGGTGTTCCTCAGAGAGCTGATCAGGTAGCTGCCCTCTCCAATTCATATCAGAGTCCCTATTGTCTGTTGTATGCCTGCATGTAGAGTAAGCATAGTAGTGAAATTATTATGGTTATAATGTAATATGTTTGTTGGGAAAAAAATAACATTGGCTGAACGAAATCCTTCATTTGGTTATGGTGCGCCGTGCATAGGTCCATATTTGGAACGATGAAGTATATGATGTTGCCTGTTTCGTCTCGGCATTTGGAATAAGCATAATAATGAAATGACGACTAAGTAACAGTATTGTATTCATCAGATTCCGTCAGGACTTGAACTCGTGACCTGTTCAGCAACAGTCACGTGTTACCGTTCAGTCATGTGAGCTGGGTGCCAGCACGTGTCTCATCAGGGTTTTTGGTATTTTTAAGGATAATGCCAGACAGGCTTAGTTGCCACTAGCGGGTAGTGTCACTGTGGTGTTCTCTGGGTTGTCGGGAGTTCTCTCATTCGTTCAGTTTTGGCGTTTAAACTAGCAGCTCAGTTTTGGCGTTTAAACTAGCAGTTCAGTTTTGGCGTTTAAACTAGCAGTTCAGTTTTGGCGTTTAAACTAGCAGTTCAGTTTTGGCGTTTAAACTAGCAGTTCAGTTAAACTAGCAGTTCAGTTTTGGCGTTTGAACTAGCAGTACTTCCCGGCATGCGGGCTGTGTGTCAGCATCTTTTTCCTACCTTCTTTGCCTGAATACAACGTACGTTCATTATAGCTGTATATTTGACTCTATCAGTCTAGATACAGCTAGAATGACCGTATGTTGTATTCGAGGGAAGAAGGTAGTACGGATTCCCCTGACAGTGTGTGCAAATATAGAATGAACCATTGCGTGTTAGCTTTTCCTTTTGGCCTGTCACGACCAGCCTCTTGAGGTCCGGAGTATCATTCATCCAATTGTAATTGTAGGTGTATTGAAATCGTTGGAAACCTTAATCCAAAAAAATGTTTACTTGAAGCATTGGGAAGCCTTTGCCTGTGAAACGTAACTGGTGGTTTTAAGGACTGGCAAGATGTAGCTACAAACAGCTGGGTGTAAAATGTGTCAGAATTGCCTGGGTGTGTTCTTCTCGTCTCTCTTGGAGATGTTGAGATGACTGTGATGTCATGTGCCAGCTCAGCTTGTTCTGTGATGGTTGGGGCATGGGACTCCATTTTGTTATCCGTTGGAGTAGAGTTTGCTGGGGGTGCTGATGTGATAATATCTTTTCTGGCTGGCGTTGGAGTGGTTTGTTGTGAGTGCGCGTGATTTGTAGTTGCAGATTGTCCACTTTCCTTGTTTCTCAATCTGTCCAAGGATGACTGGTGCCGCAAGTGTATTGTGCTGTGCAAGAGATTTGCCGATTTCTGTGAAATGTACAGTCCCCAGGTACCAAAGATTGTTAGAGTATGAAGCCTCTTGCACAAGATTGTCCGAGTATGAATAATGGGAGGATGATCGAGAGTGAATTATCTTGTGCAAGAGGTTTTTTGCCTTTGGCTCGGGTTCTGAATCACTGACTATTATGTGTGTGATTTGCTGGTTTGTTGTTTTGTCCGCTTGTGCAGCAATGCAAGTGATGCACTGGACAAGCTCCGCTTTCTGAGCGTAACGGATGCATCTTTGCTTGCCGGGGACCCTGAGTTGGAGATTCGCGTCAAGGCGGACAAGGAGGCAGGGACCATTGAGATCACGTATGTCGTAGCCCCCAAGAAGTGTACCCTGAGTGCCAATAATTTTTCATTTGAATTCAGAATGTGTAACCGGGAATTGGATTTTTCTGCATGGCAGAGGGGTATTCGAGGTTTAGACTAAAGGGGGGGGAGAAATGTGCACGAGGCTTGGGTGCTGCTAGGTAATGCTTGGAAGGTTGAGTAAGAGTCAGGAAAGGTGTGAGAAGAGAAGGGGAGGAGGGGAGGTTACGGTGTAAGAAAAGTAGTGGGAGAGTTATCTGTCAACAAAACCCTCCCTCCCTCCCTCTCTGGGTCTTCTCGAAAAAGTTCGAAAACATGTTTCCTAAAGACTGAAGGCTGAAGGCTAAACGTGCAGAGTTAAGGAAACAGCTTCTGAATTGTGGAATAACGATGATGCTCTGATGCTCTCGGAAGACGTGTTCTGGGGTCTTCGTTACCATTGCTGCTGGTCTGGTAGTGCGGACTCTGCCATATCTTCTTTTTTTCTTTCTTTTTCTTTTTTGGGGAGTACCAGATCTTTGAGCCAGCATTTTCTTTTTGTTCTTTTCAGTGGGGTGTGTGTGTGTGTGTGCTTTTTTTTTCTTTCGTTTTCTTTTCGGGGAGTACCAGATCTTTGAGCCAGCATTTTCTTTTTGTTTTTTTCAGTCTTGTGTGTGTGTGTATGTGTGTTTTCGGGGAGTACCAGATCTTTGAGCCAGCATTTTCTTTTTGTTTTTTTCAGTCTTGTGTGTGTGTGTGTGTGTGTGTGTGTGTGTGTGTGTGTGTGTGTGTGTTTTGGTGTTTAGTTTGGTGGAAACTTCAGCGAATCTAGACCTTTTGAGTACTTTTAAGGCCAAGTGCATCTGTGCTTGCTCTGTACTTACCCGGTTTTCGAAGGGAGACAGCTCTTTGACCCAGCCTGTCTGCAGTGCCTCTGAATGCTGTACAAACTAAATTAACTAAATTTTGAAAACGGCTCTGGTCTTCGTTGTTGTGGATGGTTTCTAGAGCCAACTGTGTTTTCTAAATTTTTTTTGACATTGAGACGCAATGCGAAGCTCGTGCTTTGGATTGGAGGTGCACAGTCTCTCGATGAAATTACGAATACTGTTCTACATACCATCCAGGGTGGAGTCTTAAGGAATATGCTTTCTCCTCCCGTTTTGTTGTCCATTGTCGTTGTAACGTCAGAATGGATACTGAGGGGTGAACCACTGGAACATCAGAGCGGATGTTGTAGGCCGATCAAAGAATACTTTCTCATTTCGATGTCATTTTTTGCTTGTTTGCTCATCCCCTTTCAGGGATACTGGAATTGGAATGACAAGGGAGGAACTGGTGGAGAGTTTGGGAACAATTGCTCAGAGTGGTACTGCGAAGTTCGTGCAGGCTTTGAAGGTCAGTGATCGGCTCATAATGCCCATTCCCCCTACTTCTCCTTCAGTTCACCCTGTTCGGACCAGGTGCTGAGAACCGTCGCGCTGATATCCTTTGTGAGACAATTAAATCTGAAAAAATGGGTCTTGCATGCGCACAATTGCACTTTTCCCAATTTCTTGATGAAAACTTGACCAGACTAAGGCTGTGTGTATAGCATGTGCGCTCTGTCTAGAAATGGCAGCAACAAGTCGGAGTGGTAGTGTTTAGCAGTTTCTTGGAACCGTCCACCCCTTGGCACAGAAATTTACCCTCGGTATGTGATTAGTGGCAGGTTTTTTGTGCATAGCCTCCTTTTCGCTTAAATTTTTATTGGGTCTTGAAGCCGTGGCAAAGGAATTTGAATATATTTTATGGGAATCTTAAGGCGGATGTGATACTACTACTGTGAATAAAGGGGGACTGTGGAGATTTGAGCAAGTGGCCAGCAGTTTTAACTAAACCAGAGTTGACTCCTCCTTTCCCGGATCCCCGTCGTCCCGTCGTCGATCCCCGCCTTATCCCGATCCCGCTTCTCGTGAGAGAGAGAGAGAGAGTCCCTGATCCCTCTCGTGGCGTTGTCGATCCCCGCCCCGTCCCCATCCCGCTCCTCGTGTGTGTGTGTGTGTGTGTGTGTGTGTGAGAGAGAGAGAGAGAGAGAGAGAGAGAGAGAGAGAGAGAGACCATACCTTCGTCAGCCGCCTCGTCCCAATCCCGCTCCTCGTTGAGAAAGAGAGAGAGAGTGAGAGGGCCTGATCGCACTCGTTGCGTCCTCGGTCCCCTCGTGTCGTTGATCCCCGCCTCCTGACACGAGAGAGAGAGAGATTGTCGACTCCTTTCCCGCATCCCTGACGTCGCCTCGCCGATCCCCGCTTCGTCCCGATCCCGCTTCTCGTGAGAGAGAGAGAGAGAGAGGCGTAACGCCACGCAGCAGTGCACGCAAGTAACACGCATGTCCGGATGCGATGCAGCAGGAACGGACGGTCGGATAGCGCGGGCGCCAAACATCACTCCCTCGTCAAATGTGAAAGGCCCCACGCCAACCCATACCGCCTCCATTGACACTCCCCCGTCACGACTGCGTTCCCTCTACCAGCCTACCCAACCGTGGCGCCCTCCTGATTCTCCCACGGTCCACCCGCTCCCGACCCGTTTGGCCGCGGTGCCGTTTCGCCACCTGCTCCTAGCATGGGCCCTGGGCCCGCTTGACTTTTCCCAACACTGGCAGCGGGTGCTCGCGTGGGACCGTCACAACAGACCCTCTATTAGAGAGATCATCGTTTCGTTCATCAATAGCCAGTTTGATGTACGTGCTAAATCTGTGACTTCAGTGTCTGCGAGACTCCAGCAGCACAGCTGCGTTGACATTCTGTGTTTCCATCGCAGTATTTTGGTCTGCTCACTAGGTAGAAGGGGTAACCAGTGTGTCAGTAGATGGATCTCTCAAGGCCGAGAATGTGTTTATGTTGGTGGAGTTTAGCAGCCGAGAACTCGTACAATGGATTGTGTGGGCATGCCACTATTGTTGGTGCGTTCTGTGAAACTTGGCTGTTTTTGCGCGAAGCATGACCTGGTGAGCTATGTAACCTGGTGCTTTATCATCGTCAGCATTGGGTTATTCTTCCTGCTGATGGAATTGACATCGACTTTTGCATGTGGTGGTTGTGTGCTGTACTTTTGAATTCTTTCTCTGCAGGATAATAAAGAGGGTTCTACGGAAAACAATTTGATTGGGCAGTTTGGTGTTGGATTCTATTCAGCTTTTCTTGTTGCAGACAAGGTTTGTGAACATCTGGGAGAATTTGTCCTTTTGCTTGGGGGAAGGAGAGAGAGAGAGAGGGAGAGAGAGAGTTTGCCTTGCCTGCCTTGTTGTTGTAAGTTAAATATTCATGGAAGCGGGAACTTGTTTGCATTGGCTTGTTGCTGTTGGGTTGTGCCTTTCCTGTCTGTCCTATCCGATGCGGTTGGCATCTTGTCCTACGTGTAGAGTGTGCCACTTGGTATCTATTTTCTAAGTGTTACTGATTTATGACTATGGGATTGTGTTGGGGTTGGGGTGAATCCACGCTTCTGATTTCATACTGCTCAGTGGTTACAATGTACAAAGACCAGCTAAGCAACCTTTTGTTCAAGGCCACGCAGGTTTGTCGTAGGTTAACATGAAGAAAGTTGGTTTCCTGATCGTAATCAGGTTGGGATGTAGCATCTTGGGCGGGTGTCTGATTGGTTCAGTGAGGCAGCAAACCCGTGTGCTGAACAAATGGCGCCACAGTTTTTTGGGGTGCACCATGAGACCATGGTAGCACTTGATAAACGTTGGATGGAAGGTGTGAGTGCATACAGCTCTCTAGTTTAGAACAGTGTAGGAGTGGAAGAAGAGAGGAGGATATTGGTCACCGGCTTTACTTTGTGTTTGCAGCAACTGCCTTTGCTTTGTGCTTGTCATTAATGGTGTTGACCAGGGACAGTGATTGCATTCATGCAACTGTGAAGCCCCAAATGGTGGTGCAGTGCGGAGAGAAAGATATGTTTCTTAAACTTTGTTCAGAGGATAGCATTTGCTTACTGGATGCTGTGAATGGTGGTTGACAGGTGACAGTGACCACGAAGAGCCCAAAGTCTGGAGCAGTTTGGGAATGGGAATCTGTAGCTGATAGTTCAAGTTACACTATTAAAGAGCTGCCTGATGCTCCAGAACTTCCCAGGGGCACAAAGGTCACGCTTCACCTCAAGGTGAGCATCTGACATATACTTGATGTTTTTGTTTTTGTTTTTGTTGGAATCCTTTTTTTGTGTATGTCAGTATGTTCTGTGACAAATAAGTTCCAATCGCTCGCCAAGCTGGGTGCACTTTTTTCTCTCCGGCAGGGGCGACCTCTTCTTTGTCTTTTTGGGTGCATTTGAGTCTGTCCTGTGACAAGTTAGTTACAAGCTCCAAGCAAGTTAGAAACTCCAAGCTTGGATGTGTGTTTTCTTTCCCTCTCCCTCTGTGTGTGTGTGTGTGTGTGTGTGTGTGTGTGTGTGTTCAATTGTGCAATGGGCTAATGACTGAGTTCTAGATAGAAGCAGGCTCCAAGTACCATCAGGCATCGACATTGCAAACTTTGGAACTGCTCTCTCTTTGGGTGTTCTCACAAATTTGCATCTCACTTGGCGCGAGGGAACAGAGAAGCCTGTGTATGGGCTGATAGGTGCATTCTTGTATGTCCGCTCATTCAATTTGTGCACTGCATGGAGCCCATGTAGAGACTGCCAGCTGGATTGTGAGTGTTGTGTGTGCACGCTGAAGTAGCACTAAATCCACTGTGCTGTGTTGTGTGTCTGCACTGGGTCTGATTGTGATTTTCAGCCTGACTGCAAGTTCGAGTACACGGAGCAGCAAAGAGTTGAGAACTTGATCAGGCAGTACTCTCAGTTCATTTCTTTCCCGATTTACACTTGGAAGGAGCTGAGCCGTGACAAAGAGGTAAAAGATTGAGTGGTGGATGAACCATTCCGGTTCTGGGGTTATGCTGTCGGGTGTCTGGATTCCGACGAGTTGGAATTTACTTGTTTCTCTGGAGTGTTGGTTTATGTCTACTTTGTGAATTTGTGAGTAGTTCGATGAGTTCGGTGACCAAGAGGGGAAAAAAAAAAATTACTTGTTTCTCTGGAGTGTTGGTTTATAGTCACCTTGTGAATTTGTGAGCAGTTCCATGAGTTCGGTGACCAAGAGAATAAATTGGAAACCAAGAGAATAAATGTAACGGTGGGGAGACTTGAAAAGACGAGGTGATGGGCTGTCTATTGTCAGAAGGGAAATGACGTGCCCTCATTATGGTTGGACCTGTGCCACCAACCACCTCAGTGGAGTCCTGTATACATGTATCTGTGTACTTGTTAGGGATTGCAAATAATCGCAAAAGACACCCATTAGTAAAGACTGTATACCTTCGATAGTTCCACATGAGAAAACAATTAAAAGGTAACCTACATGGCCGCTCCTAATATCATGCAAGCAATACTGCAAAAAAAGAAGATTGTTTGCCATGAAAGCAAGGAGAGAGTAGATGATATGATGTGTGAGCATACCTACCTACATTAGAATTTGACAGTATCATGGCGTAATCAAGAGGTATCACTGCTCAAGCAGCTAAACTTCGAGAACCATTAGTGTATCATTTTATAACGCGCTGAATGAACATATTCATGTCTTGAATGTGTCAAGCATTTGTGTATCATTTTATGGTGCGCTGAATGCACATACGCATGTCTTGAAAGTGTGAAGCATGGGCTAATTCTGAACTGGAGCAAGAGGAGCCTATAACCACGTTTCCCGGAGCCCTAAGTGTATTGAACTCTTGGTGTATGCGTAATTGCGGGATGGATGGATGTATGTCTCTGCTGACTGCCCTGGTGTTGTCATATGACAGGTGGAAGAGGAAGTTGAAGTGGAGGGGAAGGATGGCGAGGAGAAGAAGACAGAGGTGAGAGCAGGAGAGCCCCATGAATTTGTCACTGCAGTGCGGTTCACGTTTTTGCTTTTTTTTTTCTTTTTTCTTTTCTTTTCATGCCATTGTTTTTCATGTTGGATAGGTCCTCTTTGGTCGATTGCTGTGTTTAGTACTGAGAGTGTGGAGATTCGGGAGGGATCTTGGATGGTGTGTCACTGTCTCAGCGGAATCTTACAGTTGTTTGTAGAAGCTCTTATCAGTGATTATCAGTGAAAGGTATCCATTGATGAAAATACAATTTGGTCCCATGAAGGAGTTTGTATGTTGGTTGCAGGTTTATCCAGTAGGAAAAAGAATTTGAATCATGCACTTCGGCTTTGAAGAGTATAGGCAATGTGAGATTCTGTCGTTTATACGGCATAGTGATCATTTTCAATTAATTTGTGGAAACATGGAGAAGGCTCATCTCTTAAAACACATCTGCCCCTGTCCGGGAGTTCTTTGGTGTCCCCTGAAGTATGCCTCTAAAGAAAGGCAAGATACAGTCCATCTGCGCCCCCCCCCCCCCCCCCCCCCCCCAAAAAAAAAAAAAAAAAAAACCCCCCCCCCCCCCCCCCCCCCCCCCCACCAAAAAAAAAAAAAAGCAGCGGATTTTGTCTGCTGTTGGACATTTTCAATCAATTTGTGGACACGTGGAGAAGGCTTCTCTCTTAAAGAACACGTCTGTCCCTGACACGATTCTTTTGTTGTCCATGAGTTGGTCTGGTACCCCCTGAATTGTGCCTCTAAAGAAAGGCAAGACACAGTCCATCTGTGGGCCCCCAGCAGATTTGCCGGTTTTCTGGGACGGTTTTGGTTTAGGGTTTTGAATCTTGTGATTGATTGGTTGATTATCAGCTTTGGAGTGCTTAGAGTGGTTGTTGATCTTTAACTCGTGGGGATGTGTTTTGCATGTGCAGAAGAAGAAAAAGACTATTACTGAGAAGTACTTCGACTGGGATCTGATTAACAACACCAAGCCCATTTGGGTGAGTGAGCTGTGGTGATTGGGTGGTTCTCTCTTTGTTGAGTTGCCTTCGGAGTTTCTCTGATGGCTGTGATGGTGCTGTATAGGAACATTTTGTTTCTTCTGTGCACATTGTTGAGTCCTACATGAAAATGCGTTCGGTGAAGGTTGTGGAGGTGGTAATGTGATCATGTGTAGTGTCAATGAAGTAAAGGAAAAAGAGCTGTCTCAGACACATCAATGCCATCTGCTGATTGTTTCGGCTGCTTTCACGCATGCCTGAGGTGCAATATCAAATTGCTGAGTAGTTTTGCATGATAGGGTGATACGTGAACCCATAATAGAAATAGATATAGGTTGTCTTTGTGGGCACAGGGTGAAATTGTGCGGGCTTGTGTAATAAACATCCAAAAATAAATAAGCTGGCAGGTCGCAGATGACAACAGGAAGCATTGTGTGAGATTGTCTAACCTGTTTGATTGTGGACTCGATAGGAGACCATTAACAGGGCTCTGGTCGTAGTGGAGTTCAGACTCCACAGATCCAGCAGGAAAGGTTACATTATTGGAGAAAGACGTCAGGACTCAGGAGTTCTGGTCCGTGCCTGCTATTAGCAAGGGGGGTTGTCCATTTGAATGTCAGCATTCCTGCAAAGGAAGTATCTGTATGGATGTTACATATGAAATTGGTCATTTGTCTTGATGCAAGTAGAACACTTTTTTTTGGGGTGGAAGGCTAGCTCGACTTCAAAAGGAACAATGTTCGACAAAATGCTCAGACTCAGAAAGCAGAGAGGTCAGGAATGTAAGACTTTATTACCAAGAAAGTCCTGTTTCTTTTTAGGGATGGTGCACATTCAGTTGGAACAGGGGCAGAGTGGGGTATATTCTACCCAAACAGGAAGCAATCAATGCCAGTGTCTCATGGTCCCTTGGCCATAACGGAGGGGGTTCTGCATGAGTTCTTTTATGTAAGGGATGCGGGACCTGGTTTCCAGCGGATAGTGCAGTTTGCTTTTTGAAAAAAGAAGAAAAAATGAACAAGCACTCGGGGGCAGTCTGTGAAACTATTGACAATTTCTTTAACGTTCCGTGTTCTGGTCGTTGCCTTCCAGCAGCAGGATTTTTCCCGTGCTTGCAGAACTCTTATTCCTGCAAAGGAAGGATTTTCCGTTTTTGTTATTGCATTTCAAAATTCAAATGGCTTTTGCGTATTGATATGGAAGCCGCCAGTTTTGCTGCGACTTTGGATCTATCAACTCCTTGTGTTGCGAGTGTGTGTTGTCATGCTCGCTGTACATGACTCGTGTGTGTGTGTGTGTGTGTTTGCGGGGGGGGGGAGTATATATCTTATATTTTGTTTGGTGGTCAACTTGCATTTTTGTTGAATACAAGGTTACCTGACCGAACGTTCGGGGGCCCTCGGGCTGGCCTCCGAACGTTTGGGCGTTCGGGGTCCCTTTCGGGGGCCGAACACCTCCAGGTTCGGCCCCCGCAAAAAAAAATTCGGGGCCTAAAAATAAGTTTTTCTTTCTGAATTGTTTTTTTGTGAGTTCTCTATGATGTAACCTTACACGCCTATAAATTTTGAAGCCATTCTGCTTAACCAAAAAAACATTAAAAATCGTTAAAGATGGGGGTGTCAAAACGTGCTCGCCCACTCACTATTTTGTTTTTTTTCACTTTTATCTTTTTGTTTTCACTTTATTTCGGGGCCTAAAAAAAATTATTATTTTTTGAAAACTTTTTAACGAGTTATTGATTATGTAAACTACATATCTGTAAATTTTCAGGGCATTTTTCAATGCCAAAAAATAATTAAAAATCGGCAATGATGGCGGTGTCAAAAAGGTGCTGGCACACTCACTCATTTTAATTCTCTTTTTATTTTTTCTATTTTTATCAGTGTTTATTTTCTGTATTTGATTTTTATTTCAAATTTGGTAAAGAATTTGGATGTACTGTTGAGGCAAATGTTGTTTAGTTTATTCTTCTGGATAACATGTATTTTTTTCGGAATTTTTCTAGGCTACCAGAGTGGCCCGGGGTCACTTGCCCGGCCGGGCCAAAAAAACTAAAAAAAAAAAAAAAAAAAAAGTTGGTGAAAAACTTTTTTTTAAGTTTTATTTTTTATTTTACAATTGGTGAAGAATTTCGATGTGACCCTGAGGCAAAAGTTGTTCAGTTTATTTTTCTGCATAACATAGGCTTTTTTGGGATTTTTTTGATTTTTTTTGTTTTTGCTGGGATCTGCCCTGGTCCTTGCACGGGCTGGCCACCCGGGACCTGGGCCGCCCGGCTGGTAGCCTAGAAATTTTTAATTTTTTTCTTTTTCTTTTTATTGGGTCCGCGTTCGGCCTGAACGGCCAAACGTTCTGAAGGGGTCCCGTACGTTCGGGCGTTCGGGTTCGGGCGTTCGGCCCGCCCCGAACGCCGGCAACCCTGGTTGAATGCAAATAAGATAAGTGAGAGTGCATGTGTGGGGTGGGGGAGGGGACTCGGGTGAACTTGCTGACCCATTCTCATGTGTTATTGCATGCATGTGTGTTCTTTTGTCTGGTCCTCTGGGCCTTCGTTTCTGCTCACCGTTTTCACCTGCAGATGAGAAATCCAAAGGATGTGTCACCAGCAGACTACAACAGCTTCTTCAAGTCCACATTCAACGAGTTCATTGACCCAGCTGCACACACACATTTCTCCACTGAGGTATGTCAGCGAGTCTTGAAGTTGCTACCTAGCTTGTGCTGTCTGCTGTCTGCTGTCTGTGCATCCGGTTATGTTTGACCATGTGAGAGACCATTGGAAGGGATGGAAGTGCTGCTTGCTTCCTGTGCCGTGGTTGGTCTTTTCTTCAATTCGGTTGGTATTTGCAAGCGTGTGCAATTGTCTTGCCCAGCTTGCTCCCTCTTATCGTTTCCAGGCTCTAATGGCAGGCAGTTCACGAAGGTGTTTCTATATGCGTTCCCTCTGCCTGTGACCTAAGTAGGGAAAGGGACTGGGCTTGCTAGGGTAGCGTATCTTTGTTTCTTCGACTTTTTTACTTTCTATTCAGGGATTGTAGGCACTTCTGCCAGGATTTTTTTTCTCGATTTTTTTTTGTTTTAAAGGGCGACAGCCTTGGGATATCTTCTGGAGCAGCCCTAGGCACTGTTCAGGAGCAGCCCTAGATAATTCTGCATGATTTATTCCATTCATCAAAGTCCATCAGGATTTGAACTCAGGTCTGTATTTCAACAGTTCAGGTCTGTGCCAACTGAGCTAGGCTCGTTGGTGTCTGCCAGCATTACTAATCATGTAATGATATGATGATTGTGCATGGGGTTCCTTGGCCAATAATATGCCCTGTTTTTGAAAATGTAGATGTTCCACATCTGCTGAATATGTTAATGGCACATGTTTTTTGGATAGTCACATGCTCATGTGTGCCAGTTGGGGGGGCCCCGGAATCAACTTTCGTTGAGTCTGGAAGTGAGTGACACTTTGCTACTCGTTTCCGTCTTGTTGCTCCTTCGGCTGGATGCAGGGAGAGATTGAGTTCCGCAGTTTACTGTACGTTCCAGGAATTGGTCCATTCAACCAAGAGGAGATTTACAACCCAAAGACGAAAAACATCCGCCTCTATGTGAAGAGAGTCTTCATCTCCGACGAATTTGATGGTGAGCTGGTAAGTGTCCTCATGGGGTTCTGGATTTGTGCTCTTAAAATGGATTCAAAATCCTCCATGCATATGATGCTTGTTTAGGCCATCTCATGGACGGCCATCTTCACAGCGGATGTTAGGGAGGATCATCAAACAAGTATCCTCCGAACCTCTTTGCTGAGGGAGATTCCCCCTGTGCACTGAACAAGACAACCGCTGTACATGCATTTTCTTTCTTTTTCCCTTTCAAAGCTTTTTTTCTCCTTATATATGGTGGACAGATGTATTCAGTACGCTATTTTCTTCTCTCAATATTTTTTTCCACCTCACACAAGCTACCTGCATACCTTGCACTATCCACCCTCCTATCCAGCATGTCAGAACTCCACATCTGTGCTCCGAAGTGGAACATCTATGCACCGAAGGGGAAGCTATCCACTCTGTGCGGGGAGTAGTACCTAGGCTCCTGATTCCTAACGAGGGATGGCCGGATCCCTGACTCCTACTTGACCAGCCAGAAGGGGCAAGCCAACTATCTTAGCCGATGATCCCAAAGCGCGCTGCAGGCGCTGTGGGGAATCGAATGGACGACGCGGGGGATTGAACGAAATCCTGAATGCCACTTGGGTGTGCTCTACCAACAGAGCTAGGCCGCTGGCCCATTTTCGGTCCAGTACCACTGTTCATCAAGAGAACTTGCAGCGTCACATTTTCGATTCTCAAGTTCGCCTGGTTTAAGATAAAATAACAGACAACAAGACTAAGAAAGATATATTTAATAAAGCCTTATTGGAACTGTGTGTAAGAAATCATTCTAGCTAGAAATGTAAAGGTACATATGTAAACGACTGGTCCACAATGTGTTACAGCTGGTCCATAATGTGTTGCCCAATATATCGTCCAGCCCGAATTTCAGAAGTATGCTGGCATAAAGCCTCTGGGGCCTCCGAGTGACTGGAGAGCACATGTACTGCTGTATTTCTTTGAGGTTGTTTGCATTGACTGGGTATCCAAATTTGCACTGGTTCTGGTTTTAAGGGAACTTTGCCATGGGTTCTGAGTGGCCATTAGTGAGGAAAGTTGGCCTCAAAGGCCTCCTGCTCTTGAATGTATGCGGCTTTTAAGTGTGGAGGCTCCTTTCATGTGATTGGCAATTAATTAGTTTTGTTCGACTTCATGTATAGTTCTGTATGACTTACGTGCTTATCATTTGTTAGATTTAATGCTTCAAGACTCGGTTGGAAAAATCGCACACACAGAGAGAGAGAGAGAGAGAGAGAGAGAGAGAGAGAGAGTTTATGTTTTTGTTATCTGGCCATGATGAGGCTTTGACTAACAGGTTGTGATGATTACACATGGTTTGCTACATGCCTAGTAAGGTGATTCCTTTCAACTCAGTTGGCCTGTATGTGTTCTCTGTGTGTCTGTTGGGTCTGTGATCGGGTTGTGTTTTGCAGTTTCCACGCTACCTGAACTTTATCAAGGGAGTGGTAGACTCCAATGATCTGCCCCTAAATGTTTCTCGAGAAATTCTTCAGGAGAGCAGAATTGTCCGCATCATGAAGAAACGGCTGGTCAGGAAGACTTTTGACATGATTGATGAGATTGCGAAGAGAGAGAAGGCTGAGGTATGCTATCGGTTTTACATGCGTGTTCGTCTTACGCAACAAATGTCGTTTCTTTTGTTCCTTTCAGAAAGATGCGTGGTGCTCAGACAGTAGATGGATTTTTGGAGGAGCAGCAGTGAAAAGAGCGCAGTCTAGTTGAGGGTTGAGTTCGAGTACACCAGAAACATGCGTCACGTGATCTGTTGGAATAACCGTGTGTTTTTCTTCTTGGGAATGCTCGCTTCTTTCTGTTTGAGGTAGTACTAGTTGCATTTTCTTCACTGTGATTCATATTGTGGCGATTTGACCATCCCTGCAGCAGTCTATGGATCTGATGCAAGTGGTATAATGTCTATGTGTGGATGGAGCAGGATTATCAAAGCTTCTGGACGAACTTTGGGAGGAACATCAAAATGGGTTGTATTGAGGATGCAGGAAATCATGTGCGATTGGCACCTTTGTTGAGGTTTTACTCGAACAAAGGTGGAGATGAACTGGTGAGCCTTCCACAGTACTTGGAGAGGATGAAGCCCAACCAGTCGTCCATATACTACCTGGCGGCTGACAGTTTGAAGAGTGCAAAGAGTGCGCCATTCCTCGAGGAGCTTGAGAAGAAGGATTTCGAGGTTCGTACCTGAACTTTCTGCACCTAGAGCTGTGTTAGAGATCCGGGTTTATGTATGTTTCCCCGTCACTCAGCTGGGCACTTGTCCACGGGTGTTTTGCATTGTAAAACGCGAGTATATCTGCGTGCACGTAGATCTTCCTACAGGAACATCTACAATAGCTCCGATACGTTAGCCAATATCTCCTTCTTTGATGGCAGTATCAATACCAAAAACCACAATTCCTACACGCTCATTTTCTAGATTCACTGCCATTCCTATAATGTAGAATATTTGTAGCTTCAGCTATCGTTGCAGGGCCTTTAAAGGGCCTCAATGTTTGATCTGTTCCTTTGGCTGCTTGTGGATGTTCAACATATGATGCAAGATTGTATAGGGTCTTAAACGCAGAATTATTTCTGCCGGTGCTTACAGTAGGGGGCTTTAGAACGTACAGTAGGGGTTTAGAACGGAATCTGGAAGCAGGTCTCATGGACGAGCTCGGTGTCGCACATGACAGGCTTGAGAACCCCAAATAGAGAAGTTGTGTATCATGTTGAGTGACTGGATTGGTCATTTCTAACAGCTGTGACCCAGATGTGCAAGTCTGTCAGAATGTATTTCATCTTGGTCTGCGAAAGATTGTAAATTGATGAGGCCTTGTGGAAAACAGGCGAGATGAAACTTCAGCTGTACCCACAGATAAACAGAGACGAGTAAGCAGTCCAGGCAGAGCAAAGGAGAGCTTCTCACCCCTCTCGTCTGTTTTGCAACTTGTTGCCGATCTGTGCTTTTTCCAGGTGCTGTTCCTCGTGGAGCCAATTGACGAGGTGGCAATCACAAACCTGCAGTCATTCAAGGAGAAGAAGTTCGCTGATATCAGCAAGGAAGGCCTGGATTTGGGTGAGTTAAATGGTGGGGATTGTGGGCTGGGATGTGTGTTGGTGGCCTGCTTCTGCATCGCAGATTTGTGACCCTGTGATTTTGATCAACGTCAAGTTCAAAATCTGAGTGTAGTTTTGGTAGCAAGCCAATTTGGTTACGATCACGAAGCTCATGACCGTTGATGATACAAAGTCTTAGCCCGCATGGTATGCTCATTGCCGGGTGTATGTTTCCTTCGTGTCGAGGAGGGAGAGGTTATTTTGCTTTTGGAGAGGAGAGGATGGCATTGCAAGGCTGGCAGCAGGTCTGTTCTTACGAGGTTGTACAGAGGAAATGTACCTGTGGTGGACATGGCCATGGCCGGGAAGTTCTTCTGGGGAATTGATCATTGATGTGTTTGCTCGTGAGAGAGTTGTTCATCTCCATTGTGTGTGTGTTGAGGGGGGGGTTTGGGGGTGGCGCAAGTGCGAGTGTGGCAGGGGCCTAAGGGGGAAGAAAGGGAGGAGGAGAAGACTTCACTGTGGGCCTCACAGTGTTGATAGTGTTGCAAAGACTGCGCTGGAGAGTGGGTGCATATTTTTTCTCAACAATTAATTTGGATAACATGGAATTGAACAATGTTGATGTTCAAGGCTCGTCCAGTATTTGAAAGCGACTAGCATGTTCTTAGTTATGTGTCTGTGATTCTTGTCTTGTGAATGGCATCAGGTGAGGAAGTGGACAAGAAAAAGGAGGAAGAGAAAGAGAAGAGTTACAGACTCCTTTGCGACTGGATGAAGCAGAAACTTGGTGACAGGGTTGCCAAGGTCCAGGTGTCCAACAGGATTAGCAGCTCCCCTTGTATCCTCGTCTCTGGCAAGTTTGGCTGGTCAGCAAACATGGAAAGGTGAGGAAAGACGATATATGTCCCGTGCTCCCAAGATCCGAAATGCATTGTTGAGTCACAGCTGTACCAGCTTGGCATGTGTTTCTGTTGCTTGTGTCAAGGATGTTTCCTAAGTGCAAGGCTGCTGCTGCCCTCCAAAGGGTGTGAGCTTGGTGGGAGGACAGCAGCCTGACCACCATTGCTTGCTTGGTGGGGGACAGAAGCCTGATCACCATTGCTCATATGGCTATGATCAAGTTCAGGATCATGAAGGCTAAGGTGATGTGTGCAGATGCAGAAAGGGATTGCTTTCGTGGATGGTTATCGTTTGCCTGGCGAGTTACCCTTGGCCTAACCATCCGCTCGTATTGCTGTGACATGCAGGATCATGAAGGCACAGGCGATGGGCGGAGATAGTTCTCAGTTGGAGTTCATGAAGGGCCGCCGCATTTTGGAAATCAACACAGATCATCCAATCATCAAGGATTTGAACGTGAGTCCTCAACCTTGTTGAGCTATAAAGGTTACGTTTGATGTTGTGTAACACGTTTTTGACTTGCATCCTTTAGGAGGGGAATTCGTTAGGGCAGAGGCGTCTGTTCTGTGGATGGGTGGTTAGTCTTAGTTACGTGCTCGTGTGTCCATGATGATTGCCGAGGTAGGTAGGTAGGTTGACTTCTGTTTTTTGTGTGCAGGAAAGAGGAGAAATGAGATACCACAATTATGAGTTACTGTCATGGCAGGGCACCGGCACAATTTAGGTCTCTCGCGTCTTTTTATACTGTTGTGAGAGCTGCATTTGCGCAAGTAGGATCTTTGGCATCACACTCTTCTGAATGTGCCTGCCTCTCCCAGATGCGCTATTGTCTGCAAGGACTAGGGTTTTAGAATGGTTGCTGGCCTTGGGCTTTGCGGGGGGGGGGGGAGGTCGCATGAGTTGTCTTCCGGTACGATTGTGAAGTTCTTCTATTTTGCATATACAAGAATTGTGGTTATGCAGTGCATATTGACCACAGCGTTCGGTGCAGTGGGCGCAATGCTCTAGAATCATCAAATATGAATGTGTTGTTTGTTTTGGTCACTTCGGTGTCATCTTATATCCGCTAATGAATCAAATGAATGCTGGAATTCATCATTTTAGAGACTGAACTAGACCAGCTGAAAAAAGTGCTTGCAGCACATGCTTTGATCGCGGTTTTCTACCCTGCCGTTCAGATTGAGGGTTGTTGGCTGGCTTCTGTTCTGGCTGGGTACTGTTTTCTACCTATCATAATAATGTGGCTATGGCAGAGCGGTCGTCTATGAGGTGCACCTGTACCAGTGCTATAGGAAGGAAAAGAAAGAAAGAAATAAATGAAGGAAAGAAAGGAAGAAAGAATTTGAGGAATAGACCTGTCCTGCGTGACATCCGCTGAAATTGGAACCATACAGAGAATGTTGGCATGGCCCCTGGGCAAGGATGACGCACATAAAATGGTCCGAAATTCCAAGGATGACGCACATAAAATGGTCCGAAATTCCGGACTGAAAAAAAAAAGGAAAGAAAGAGATCTAAACTTCTGAAGTTCTAAACTGATGGATTTTGCTTGCGGGTGCTGATCTTTGTGAGCAGGTGGCTGCAAGGGATACCCCTAACAATGACAAGGCTGCAAATATGGTGGAGCTGCTATATGAGACCTCTCTCCTCACAAGCGGTTTCTCGGTAATTATTCTGAACCCCTATCATCCATGCAGAAAACACTCGTTCACACTCTCCACCTTCACCCGAATAGGACACGCGGGCATTAGAGCTGTATGAAGACCTTCACCTAGAATGACCAGGCACTCCACTCGGGTGTAGACAAGAGTTTGATTCCTGTTGGTATCTCCTGAGATTGTTTAATACTGTCCCCTTACTTAGGACATCTGTCAAACCTGGAATGATATAGCAGGGCCCCTGCACAATGATGGGCATAAAGTGAGAACCAGTAAATTATAAATTAGAAAATTTGAAAAAAAAAGGGATGTGCTAATACAGTAGGCGTGGCTGGAGTCGTAGAATGAGTCCGGTGCACATGACCGACTAGGAAGGTGCTTTGATGCATTTCTGAGGAGGGAGGTGTGGAGGGAAGTGGGCAGGAAAGAAAGAGTGCAGGAATGAAAGAGGGCATGGAATACCTCATCAGGCAAGGCCACGTGAGTCTATAAACAGAGTGTCATATCGTTTACAAGGGAAGCATTCAAAATACTGCGCATAAGAAGGATCTGTAATTCTGCATTGGCATTTGGGCCAAAGTTTGCTGTGCAGTGGGAATTTGCCTTGTGCAAAAGGGGTTTGGATGTGCTGGTGGGCAGCCGATGGTGTGATGTTCATCATTGGGGAGACATTTCTAGCAGGTGGCACTTGAAATTAGATAGTTGAATCTAGGGTTGATGAGAGTGGAAGGAAAGACAAACATGGTTGTTCTAGATCATGAAAAGTGTGCTGATCGACATGCTTGAAGACAAACAACCGTACATACGGCAAATCAGGTGCGCGCAAGATCCGCACGTGCGCCGCATTGCGCACGCGCACACATGCTTGCCCACATGATGATGCATTGCAATTTCGAATTAAAAACCAAAAAAAAAGGGCAGGCTGTGGTAACCAACTCTTTGTTACCTCCCTTGTGAAAAATGTTAACTGCACAGAAAAAAAAAAATTGTGGCTACATGGTACTCGTTGGATTTAAGTCTCTTTCCCGAAGGGTCCCCTGCGACGAATTAGTGGGGATCCCATTCATTTGGATTCTGGAAGAATGTGCATAGAACTGCTGGAGGAACACGAGCAGGCCGGCAGTGTATTCTGGATTCGGATTGAGGTCTGTTCCAAGAGTTATGGGTGACGAACTTAATCCGAACACTACAGTAGCTGGCTGGCTCGTTTTTTTCGTTTTTCCTTTTCTTATGTGCAGTGGCCCTAAGGGCCTCGCTCCACTCATCCGCACTCGTGCAAAAGAAAAACATATGGCTTGTATGTCCAGTTTCTGGGAAGAAGATTTATTCTAGTTTTGTGCATTTGGTGAGCAGTGGAGTGAAGCCCTGAAAATCACGCGCCGAAGTTCGCAACCCATAACTGCTGAAACATGGACCTGAATTCGAAGCCACACCATATATACCTGCCTGCTCACTCCTTGCTACAAGCCCAGCAACTATTCTTCTCCTGCTGACAAAGTCCTTGCTAACTTTTGGCAGGGACCTTTTGAAGTACGGGCAGGGGTTTTCTGAAAAATGTGAAAGACCTCTCTCTCTCTTTCTCTCTCTCTCCAGGGTGTATACATGCATCATGGTTGCTGCGGCTTTTTTTTTTTTGCGCATTTGCGATCAGCACAGTGCACCTCACTTATGCGACTCAAGTATGCAAACTACCAAGTGTGCGCTAGTTCAAGATTCAAGGTGGTTCAAAGGGTTTTTGGTTGTTCGCCGATGAAAGTGGTGACCTCGTTGCTGCGGATTGAGTAATCTGTGACCTTATTACTTCACTATACGCAGGAACGGCCTTAATCTATTCCATGCAAGCTGTAACACAATCGTCAAATCAGTGGGGCCTGAAGCATATGGGACAAATCGTCAAATCAGTGGGGCCTGAAGCATATGGGGCAGGCTGTAACACAATCGTCAAATCAGTGGGGCCACAATCGTCAAATCAGTGGGGCCTGAAGCATATGGGACAGGTTTTCAGGCTCAGCTGCCTGATGGCATTTTGTTTGACCAGATGCACTGTCATTTGTTGCTGTCCTATCTAGGACCCTTTTGTCAGTTTGTGAGGGTGTTGGTCAGAACCAGTGATTGCCTGTTCCTGTTCTGACTTTGCGGTGTTATTGTTCTTTTCGCTTGTTGCAGCCGGAGAACCCTTCAGACTTCGCAAGCCGGGTTTATGAGATGATGGCTCTCACAGTTGAGGACAAGAGGAATGAAGAGAGAGCTGCAGACGAGGCAGTGAGGTTGGCGCAGGCCAAGTACGGTGCAGGTACAGCTGCAGATGCATCTGATTCGTCCACCGATGAAGTAGTCGAGCCAGAGGTGCCATCAATCAATGAAGTAGTTGAGCCAGAGGTGATAGAATCTGGTGACAATGACCCTTGGAAGAGCTGAGCAGCAGAGATGCATGTCGTTGACGGACTGGGTGGGATGGGTTGTAGGTTACAAATTTTTGGATCGGAACTTATTCAGGTCCCTAGGCTAGGCTTGTGAAGAGAAGCACGGAGCCATTGACATTTAGGAGGAGGATGTAACTTGCGGATGTAGTGTAGTTTGTAGAGCAGACAGTGAGTAGGCAACGGCTGAGGGCTCGTGTCTTTTACTCAATTACCCTTGGAGGTGGTTTTGGGCTACCCCCCCCTTGAAAGATTACGTTCTCGTTGTTCTGCTGTCTTCTTGAAGAATCCTATTCTTCATTCTTGTGTTTTTCACATGCTGCGTCAATCTCTTTTTGAATATGGGCTGGAGCTTGTCCTTAACTTGAAGAGGGTTTTTGAACTGTTGTACTGACTCCGTTTTGGCTTATTTTTTGTCATGAGAATTCATATGTATTTGCGGACTTGCACTCTGTCTTCACCGGAATATGATGTACGGTTGTTGTTTCTGTATCTACACTCAATGGTTCCCCAAAGAAGGTAGGCTCTTCCCTGTATCCTGGATATGCAGGTGGTGCACCATGGGGAGACGTATGGCGATGTGAGTATACTATACTTGCGATGCACCTGGCCTGTGAGCTGAACGGTACGCTGTGCAGTGTGATGTGCGGATCCGAGGTGTGCGTGCGCTGCCGCGCACCATGCACCTGGGTGCGCGATGTGTGATGTGTGATGTGTGAGGTGCTGCGCTGTGCGCACATGCGCTGGGGCATGTGTACAGACAGGCTGCATATGTGCCAGGTGCGTGCGGACTTGAGTATTTTTTTTTAATTTTATTTTGCATGTCCTTGTCTTTTTCCGTTCTTTAACATTTGCAGATTGCATAGCCGTCAGGCCACCACATCTTCACCAGTGCCGCCGACATCTTCACCTGCGTACACACGATCCACAAACAGCCCAGGTGTCAACCCCTTAAATCGGGAGTCCCTCTTCAACCCACCGCCATTGGCCTCTCCCTTGTTCTAACACCCCCACCCACCACCACC